CATTTGATATATCAGAATTTGCATATAACAATGATTTTCGTAATATCGTAAAAATATAATCTCTCGCGTGATATTAGCTTAATACTTTTCAAAAATTTGATCAATTTGTAACAGTTTGATACTCTCTCTACGATCACCGATCTGCGAAGTGACTTGACGGTATGCCACTTCGAACGGTGACAGTGACGCGCATGACGGATTGCGTTTTACCGCACGCACCTCCCAAACAGCCGTTAAAATTCCTGAACGCGCTAACGACATTTCTGATTATTCTGTTCGATGATCCTCGAATGCGAGTTTATGGTTGCCAGGATATATACAGACTTATATCTACTTACCAACAGAATCCAGGTATTGGTTCTGACACGGAAACTCGCTCGTAAATTCCTGCCGAACAAATTTCCAACATATGTCGCAGCAATCTTGGCCAGCGGTTCTCAGGCGTGAGGAATCTGTCCAGGCAAAGCTTCTCAAATCTGCAACAATTAGATCAAGTAATTGGGTTAAGAGACTTATAAAAGCAATTATCCTAGAAAACAGTTTTGTAATTAATGATCACAAGTTTCGGAAGTAAAATTTTTATTACTTTATCCAAGGCATTTTAACATATTTTATTATATAGGCAATTGATTTAATTATTTGAGTAAATTAAATCTAAATGCAATGCAACATGTTATATTTAAATTATTGCATATATTTTAGCATAGAAAAATTTAATATTTACAAATAAAAGAATTAATAATTTTATGTTCATGCATAATACCATTTTTTAAATAAAAGTACAAACACAATGAATATATAGATGGAATTTTATCATTGATTATTTATAAATAAAAAGATAGCATTTCTAAATACATTATAAAGCCCCGAAAGTTCTTCAAGGAGCCGTCTGCACGTATTGAGCACCATATAAATGCGTTCTATTAGTATCACGGTCAGAATAATTCTCAGCGCAAAGGATTAAACCATAGTGGCATGCTGAAATTAAATAATGAGAGTCCGTCGCAATGACGACCACTGGGGACTTGGGAGCGGCCGGCAATCAGAATCTCGCGCGAGACGCGCGCGTACACGCCGGTCACACATTTAAACAAAAACACACATCGCGACCGTACCGAAGGCACTACTATCTCAATCCGTACGCAAATGAGCCCCTCCGAGAGAGGACGAGATGAAAGTGATGCGCGTGCAGAGACGTGTGTGCGAGTTTCTTCTCTTCGCGCGTTTGTGCACGCATATACGCACACACGCGTACGCGCGATCGTAGCAAAGGCTCCTCCGTTGACCGCCGTAGAGGAGAAGGTGACGGAGGACGGAAAAGGGAGGACGAATCAAAGCCACTCAAAGAAATAACCAGTGCTCATTAAGAGTAATAATCCCTCTCCTCGATCGTTTCGATTGTTTCAAGGGTGTCACACGGAGATCGTCCGGCTGCGCGTTATATATTTAACAATCTTCCTTATCATATTAAATACCTTCGCTCGGCGGAGGGCCAACGGCGAAGGAGGAAGTCTATCGGCTAAAGAAATCACATCGTTGAACAACTCCCGTGGCCTCCGGTTAAGCTGTGCCGCACGAGGTTCAGGGATAACAAAAAACGTCATTGCTCATTGTCCCTAGGGAACGCGATCGCGGGATCAAAGATGATTTATCGAGAAGTTCGAAAGTAGTCTGAAATGTGTATGCTGCGCTATCTTTGCTGATGATAGTTAAAGAGATTAGCTAAAACGTTCTTTTTTGTACTACTTTATTTCTTAGTAATTAAAAATATTTTTATAAATAAATTACGTATTTGCTGTCTAATTACCATTAGCTCAATTTATTACTACTGTATGTTTTGGTTTATCGAGAAAATTTTTAGAATTCTAAAGTACCCTGTAACTGCCACGCAAAGACACTTTATCAGTTTACTGGTCAGTAACTTTTAATCGATAAGAAATGGGAACGTTTTTTTTTTCTAGATATATAAAAATCCTCGTACATATATTTATATTTTTTAGTACTTGTATCAATGATAAATAGTATAATAAACGGCAGCAAAAAAAATTCTATCGTTAATAAAATCGGTTTGGATGGAAGGATTTAACATTTTGTAAGGAAGAAAATTTCCGGCCAGTGAGTCCTGCAAGATAAATAAGAAATAATAAAGAAATAATTTCATAAACATTCGCGCAAGGATTAAGTTGAGCAATGCTTCATAATTTTTGCGTTTCGTTCAACGATATACCAATTTCACAATAATCATGCCCATCGCTCGCCACGTACGCGTTATATTTGCGATGTGTGCGCTCGATGATCATTATTCAGCCGATTATATCAAACAAGAAGAGCGAGCTGCCTCTGGTACCGCGGACAAGCGAGTCCGTGGATCGGCCGGTAATGAATTTGCCACATTCCCGTGAATGGTACGAGGCTGTAAAGGGAGCAGACGAAGCGACCAGAACTATACACCGTGTCCAATGTTGTTGCGCTAATCCCCTATTTATCCGTAACACTATTCTCCCTTCTTTACTGCATATGGCCGTGCCTCCTCTTTCCGAGAAGGGCTCTTTCGATGGCGGAACATAAAAACGCGGATTATTTGCTCGCCCGATCGAGGTGAACCATAATCCACGTGAGCGCGCGAGATACGCGAGAGAGCGAAAAAACGAGGTATCTAACTGAGAGAAGCAGAAAGATAGAAGGAGAAGTGTTAGTCAAACAGTGGATTGCCATGCGTGTGCCAGGGATTCTCATTAAACGACAAAGGAAGAACGGAACCGCGGACGGGGTCTTGGTACTCCAGTCTCACCGTCTAATAATGATCAATTTCATATTGACGTTGAGAGACAAACTGGAGGAACGGAAGAGAAAGAAAGCAAGAAAGAGAGAAAAATAAATCGCTATTTATTAAGCCCTCAGAGATAACATTCCCTCAAACGCTAAAATAAGTATTACAATTATAATTATAATAAACAAAAGTTGGTGATTGTTAATAGAGAACGCAAATGTAGAGATATGTATAAGATACAGAAAAAAAAAGAAAATTAAATAAAAATAATAAAATAAAATAGAAATAAAAATATGGAGGTAGCAAAAATATAAGAGAAGACATGCAAATTACAATTGCAGTAACAACTAAAAATTTAATCCAGTTAACGTCCATTTACTAATGTAGATTAACTTTAATCTCGTTTAATTTACTCTTTATCCTTTTCTAATTCTTAGAGCTGGAAAAAGATAAAAAGTAAGTTAAACTAGAAGTTAATCTATATTGATAGAAATGGGTAGCTAAGTAATAAGAGAGGGAAAGAGAGAAAGAGCTCTCCCCCGTTGTTCTCCTTGTCGTCTCCTCGTCTTCCTCCCACCAGCTCCGATAATTACAACCGGGCGTTCAACGAATGAGCAGGGGTATCATTAACACTTCCTGCCTCGTAACGATCCTCATCTGATACACGATACGCGCGATATTACCGCGCGCGTCACTGCGTAAACCTGTCAACCCGCCTAATCGACGTCGACGTGCCGCGTCCTTCTCTCGGTCCTCGCGACGCGCGTGCGTTGCGTCACGCATCCGATTAAACGTCAGCCGGTTCTTATAGTTCAGGTGACACATTTTACGCTTTTCTATCCGTTTACTCGACCAATCGATAAAAAAAAAAGAAGGAAATTAAAAAAGAAAGAGCAACACATCCTGCGGGGCGCGTGATCCTGAAATTAGAATTAATCATCCTACCGAGGCGCATTGGGAGACCCTTTCGATAACATGGACTATCGGACTATCCTCCGGCCCCTCGAGACGCGGCCGCAGGAATTATCCCGTCAATGCGCACCGGCCCGCGGGCCTGCTAATAACTACCAATTTACCTGTCTCGCTCAGGCGAAAACAGGTTCCGCATAAATTCTCCCCCGTTTACGGCGGGGATGCTATTATGACAACTAAGTTGGCACAAATCAATTACGCACGAACATGCCGTGTATCCTTTCCTTACAGAAGTCCGGTAACTTTGAGAATTTTACGTTCTCTTTATGCTGATGTCGAACGCGAATCTCGGCGTTTATAATAATCTCGTAAATAGATTCCGGACGGAAACCACCATATAATTATAGATATCTTTTGCAGATATTCATACGTAAATTCAGATGCATCGTTTTAGAATACTGGCACTTGTTCTTTTCTTCTTCGCTAACGCTTTTGCGTTATGAAAGCTAGGGAAAAAATGTAATTAGCACCACGATACAAAACTTGTATTGATACTCGTAAAACGAGCCGATTACCTCGAGAACAGGGTGAATTTAGTTTCAAGATGAAACAGGTGTGACAGTAACGATTTCAGCGCGACATGCGTGAAACTGAACTCACGTAGCAATCAAAGGCAAATGGCTGATACAGACCGGAATCTCTGAAGTAAGAGTCTAGCCAAGTAAGAATCTAGCCTATTACTTGTTACAGATTAGTTTAATTAAATCTGTAATCAATATGATGACGGAAGCAATCGTAACTCCTCATCTAATAGGAAATTGAATGAAATGAATAATTTAAACAGAAATTAAAATAAAAATTATAAAATTACAATTTATGAAATTATAAAATTTACATACTCTTTAGTGTATAAGCACTATAAAGATATAGTTTAACATTTTTTATTTTGCTTCGCTTGTTTAGTGTTCATTGTCACCATATAGAGTATTATCTGATGACGAAGTTGACCTGACTCTTACTTGAGGGATTCTAATGCAAATTCGAGATGCTCCAATCAGAGACTAACCAAAGTGGAGTAGTCCTATTCAAAGATATATTTCGAATAACTTTGTATATTTTTGGAAAATGAGAAAAGAAGAAAAAAGAGACAGATAGCTGTAAGAGAAAGAAAGCAAATTCCTGTGTTAACTGTTTTTATCCGTTATTTTTTTATCTACTTTGGCCAGATTCTGGTTAGAAAATCTGTAGTGTAGACAACGAGTTAGAGCAAGTCTCTCATCTATTCTAACAAGAATCGATCACGCTTTGGTTTCAGTAGCGGCTGCAGGCTTGAGCGGCGGTCTACTCGGAAGTGCTATGATGCCACTGCACGTGGAGGGTGGCTCGCAAGTGCAGGTGCCGCGGGCCCTGATGCAGGCGTTCCTGCAGCAGGATCCGAATCATCCGGGCTTGGAGACGGTCCGCTTGCCGGCTCCGTCGTGTGGCGCCGACGAAGGCGGACCACCCCAACACTGTCGCGAAGTGGAGACTGAGCTGTGCCTCGTCTGTCGCCGTTGCGGTCGCGCGTATCCGCAGGAGTCGTCGCTATTGGCACACCAGCGATCCTGCTATCTGGGCAATCAGCAACGTCGCGGCGCCCTGCGTCTCGTGCAAGTGCGTTACTGCTGTTCGTTATGCGAGCCCGGCGTATCAACGCGCACCTACACCACCGTGAGCGAGTGGCGTCGTCACGCCGAGACGCTGCAGCATCGGGTG